CCTGGGATGGATGGATGGATGGATGGATGGATGGATGGATGGATGGATGGATGGATGGATGGATGGATGGATGGATGGATGGATGGATGGACGGACAGTGGTGCATACTTGTGTGGAAGGGCCCAAAGCCCAGCAAAGCACCAGGGGTTTGACAACTGTCCCACGCAAGGCTCAGCAGCCCCGCTCTGCCTGGTGCTGTGGTGCCAGCACACGTGGCTCAGGAGTGCCATTCCTGGGGACGGTGGCTGCCATACATGGCCAGGCCTGGCTCTGGCACAGGCAGGGAGGCCCAGCAAGCCTGGAGCAGCCGCTGCCAGGCTGTGTCACATTCCCTGGGAGCACACGGCACTGTCGCCTTCTCAGGGGCCCTGGGGCAGCTGCAAGGATTGAGTGGCTGTGCTGGAGCTGCCCCTGCGCCCCAGCCTCCCACATCAGTGCCCTGGCCTCTGCTGGGGATCATGGGGCTTCACTGGCTGGGGGCAGAGTCCCCTCAGCACCCAGGGAAAATGTTTAGGGTTCAACAAACACCTAGGAGTGTGTATGAAGGATGGATGTGGCTGGGACAAATGCCTGGGTTTATATACCCAGGTTGTGCTTGCACACGTGTAACACGTGTACTTGTGTAAATCTTTACCAGGTACCAGTGCCCCCCAAGAACACTTTGCCCTCACTATTTGTGCCAGAATGAAAACACACCATGGTCTGTCTGGCCCAGCAAACCCTGCCGAGGTAGGTAAATATGTTCATTCTCATTTTACAGATGGATAAGCAGAAACAGAGAGATACCAAGTGACTTGCCCTAAAGGTTAAACACCACGTTTGAAACATAACCCAAGACTCTGGATTAAAGAACTTGTGGAGCTGTTTCATTAAAGAAATCCATAAAATTAAATCATTCTATACTGACAGGGCAGGAATTGTAATATCCTAAACTTCTTCTGCAATGTGGTCTTCTAAACTCAGAAAACAAATTCAGTTTCATAACCCTGTTGTATTTTTTAACCTTCAGTACAGCAAACATTTTGGCCCCCCCACTAATAGAAAATGTTTTGCTTTGCTGCTGGTAGAGCCTCCTGTGGCCCATGGCAGATGGGCAGCAGCCGCATCACCCCATGTGCAACTCTTTCATTGCCACTGGACTTTTTCTGTCCCGTACTTTTCCAACTTTGATTGAAGTTTTCTCCTTTTGTTTTTTTTTCCTGTTTCGTAGCCTTGTAGAAGTCCTATCTTCCCCTACAGGCTCCTTTGTGCCTTGGCACAGAGAGCATGAAAACGTGCTTTGTTCCAGCCTGGGGGTGACCCTGGCGTGCGACACCAGGGCTGAGCTGGAGCTTCAGCCACAGCCTGGGGTGGCCACCATCACCCACAACTGTGGCATTCTTTCAGACATAACAGAAACCACCACACTCAGTGTGTGAGTAATTAGGAACAGGGACTCGTGTCCCTCCCTCTCTGCAGTGTGCGTGACAAAGAGTGAGTGGGAGTACTTTAATTTGATTCTTCAAATGATAAAATTTCAGTTTAGTGCCCTATCCTTGTGGTTGGTGAACCACCTTTGCCTCCCTGGAGTGTTTGTGTTTGTGCATGGTTGGAAGTCTCAAAAAACAAAATTTCAGAATTTGACCCCAGTGGGACCCAGTTGGTCACCCATGTTCTTAAAGCACTGCAGCGGTCAAATGCCTGGTAGACAGAGCTGATGATATGATTTTGATTAAATATATTTTGGATTATATGTCAGTTTGGTTGTGTTGTTTGCATTTTGATTAATGCTATTGAAGTAAAAATGCTCTACAGCAGGAAACTTATTTCAATTATTTTTCAAGAAACAAATTTCTGAAGCCATTTCTGCCCACAAGGAGGAGGTCCAGGGGAAACTACAAATAGGTACTCTTTTTTTGTGGGGAAAATAGGCATTTTCCCCACAAATTAACTTTAAAAAAACACTCTGTAAGTTTTTGCATCACTTCCAATGGGAAATGCTACACAGTTGTAAACTTCTGAAGCTGTCACAGGATGGATTTGGAGTTCTGTGGCCACTGGTCCCATCGGATCTGCTTCCTTTGTGTCGGAGCATGCTTGGGGGCAGGGAGGGGAGGTTAGGCTCTGTGCTGAATTTCTTGTTCCTGCTTCCGCTTTGCTCCCAGCGATTTCTGTTTCCCCCATGGATACATCTCCTCTCCAGGCCTGTTTAACTGCCTTGTGTTTACAGATTTCTCATCTGTGCAGCTTGTGGAAAGCCATTCAGCAATTCTCATAGTCAACAGTGGATTTTAGGGGGAAGTTCTCTTTCAACTTTTTGCTTATGAATTCAGATTTTTAAAGCCATGAATGAAATTTTGGTTTATATGCAATTGGAAATTTCTGTCAGAGCTTCAGTTTGCCTCTCCCAGGTGCAGTCCAGCAGAGATGCACTGAAACCTGAAGAAAATCCTCACTACCTGGAGACCTGCATGCGAGCAGCTTGGTGTGTGCCCCGAGTAAAACAGAGATGTTTGATTTCATTATGTCAAAGTCAGACTAAATACACTCATCTGATTACAGCCTAGTAACTTAGAAAGAAGCCTCACACCTCACAGATGATTTTTCCAAAGTGCTAAAATTCAGAAAATGCCAGCCCACAAATTCCATGCATTCCTGTGTTCAGGTGGCTTTGTTAGATTATATCAAAATTATAATTTGATTCCATTATTTTCACAACAGAATGTGTCAGTGTAATGCATGTTGCACATTGCCCTGGAGCACAGCTGGTTTGAGTTAGAGGAGTATCTCTGAAATCTCATCTGCCAGCAATTCCCACCCAAGCCCCCAGCGCATACCAATGCTACTTTAGCTCTTGTAAACACGGGGTGATAACTATGCAGTGTTTATCTCCGTGGGATCGATAAGGATTGTTTCACGGGTGCTGCTGGCATGGGTAAATGTCAAGAGCCCTGTGTTCCCGCAGAGCATTCCCGAGTTTTACAGATGTGGTCTGGGCTGCGTCCAGCTCTGGAGCAGCACCGAGCTGAATGCAGTCCCTCGCAGTGGGACAGTCCAGCCAGCAATGACACGAATGCTTTTGACTGAGGAAAACCCATCATTGGTCTGCTCTGCGACCTGCAGGAGTATGTATACCGAGGGTGGGAGTTTGAAACTGAGGCGTAGCTCACTTCAGTCTTTTCTAAACTCTGGCACGTCTATAACACTTGCTTAACCACAGAGTCCTTCCTTATCAGTATATAAAAAATTAATTACAGCCTAAAATTTAGACCAATTCATGTGTTCTTGATGGCTAAAAGAAACTGCTGAGTGAACCCTGACTTCTGTGAAGTGCTAAATTGTGGGACAAGAGCTGGAGAAACCGGTTTTCAACATTTCTGGCCCTTTAGACTCACAACTTAAACCTAAGAGCTGGAGTTATTCTCCAGTTGCTGGTTACATTAGTGAAAAACGCGTGAAACCCCCTATAAGCATAAGAAAAACGTGCACTGCAGGAGCGCCAATGTCAGAGAAAATACTTTAAAGTTGATTTCTGCGTTAAGCATCTGAGCACTGCCATCCAGTGGGCAGCGGGGAATCGGCTCTGTCCCCCAATGCCCGTGTCCCCGTGTCCCGGCGCTGCCCGGAGCTGCTGCCCGCCGCTTTCCAGGAGCACAGCGGGACCCTCAGAGCGCCAGGCTCTGTGGGAGAACCCTGCTCTGCCCCGGTGAGGAGATGGGGCTGGAGCGCTGACAGTGCCGGGATGCTGCTGGATGTCAGCAGGAGCGGCTGCAGGAGCCCGCAGGGTTTCACTCACCCGCATCCCGCTGCAGGAGCCGCGGGGTTTCATTCACCTCCATCCCG